CCAATCGGCCCCTGCAAAACAACCCCGCCACAGTGGCCACCGTGAAACAGTCACCCTCGCAAAGCTGTCCCTCGGATCACCCTATTAAACTGACGGCGAGTGCCGGCAATATTGAGTTAGGTGGCAATAGCCTAAATTGCAGCAGCTCTGCACGGCCTTTACTTCAGCGCAATCGATCGCGCTGGAACGATAATTGCTGCACAGCGAAACACATGCGGTTCCCGTCTTAGCCTGGCGTTGTTCAATAGTTCAGTTTAAATGCTAAAGTTTCGTGCATTCACGAACCTTTGAAAATTTCGGCCAGTGATCAAATCTCTTCTTCATCCATCTTTTCACTAGACACTGATGTACACGATACTTTCGCAAACACTCGAGTACACAAATACTCCAAGTAAAATATACTATAGGGTGGCACAAAAAAGTTTGGCCACAAAAGTTATGTGTTTATGAAATCATTAGTAATGTATATTTCCGAAAACAAAACTCTAGAATGTCAGTTATACCATATTAAGTATCGAAGATAATAATTAATATTCAAAATGTTCATCTTTAGCTTTGAAGTAGGTTTTAAAGCGCTTTAGAAATGCATCAGTGATAGCTATGCATCTTTTTATGAATAAATTCTTTCAGGCAGGCAATAAAGAGATCTTTTGGTCATCAATCAATGAAAATCTTCTGATTCTTTTGCATTAATATTTAAAGTCTTTTTGGTATTTAATAAGACGTAATTAATTCCAGAATTCGTTTTTTTAAATTTACGTTACTATAAAACTCAATCAAAATGACGACAAATAATGTCAATTTGTTAGCTAGATAATTTGATAAACGTACAAAATTTTCTAGCTAAATGTTTTATTATCCTGTATACATTAAATAAAAAAATCTAAAATTAAAAATTATATAAATTGTAAATATCTGTAATATATAATATAACGTGTCTTTCATTTGATTTAACATTTTGAAACGCAGTAATGAAAGAACTAAATTTGATATAATATAAGTATAATTTTTGTATTATTAATTAATATAATTTTTAACATTAAATTATTTTCATTGATGACGAAGATAAGCAATAAGATCGTAAATATTTTTCAAATTTTGGTATTTTCTATTTAAACTTACAATTAGTTCGCGTCTCAATGCTTTTCAATTTAATGTCGAATAACTGTTTGTATGCAAATGTAGCGGAAGCGCAGCTGGGAAAGCAGGGCATCTTGGAATTTCGAACGCTCCACGTAGGCGGATATCTTCACGCGGGCGAGGACATACCGCATTTCGTGGGCCAGCTGCAGCAGATCTGGTTCAACGGATATCCATACCTGGAGATTGCGCGCAGCGCTGGAAGCCATCAAACCTCACATCAGGGCGTCGCGCCCATCATTCGGGTCACTGGCAAGTTCGGGAAAAGAAATCATCCGGTTCACCATCCGGTGACCTTCACCTCCAAACACACTTTCGTAGGACTTCCGGTACTCAAAGCGTACTTGGAGACCAACATTTATTTCCAGGTGAAAATTGATATTTTTTGCGAGTCATGAATATTATATGGGGAGCTTTTGATAAATAAAGAACCGCGAAGTCCATTTTATCACGTCCATTTTATCATAAAGATTTTATCATTAATCGTAAAAAGAATATAATTCAATCAATCTGCAGAGAGAGAAAAAGGGAGAACTCATCGCCTTACACTTGTAAATTACTTTTCAGTTCAAAACGCGCGAAGCAAACGGCTTGATCCTTTATAATGCCGGAAGAGAGCATGATTTCATTGCGGTCGAGTTGGTAAACGGACACGTACACTACGTGTTTGACCTAGGCGACGGAGCTGTCAGGGTCAGGGACACTTCGAAATCCAAGTTGAACGATGGCAAATGGCACGCCGTCAGTATTGGCAGACCTGCCGCAAAGAGGCACACACTCTCTGTGGACGATCACGTGACTGCTGTCAACAGCCAAGGTAGCAACGAGAATCTTGATCTCGATGGCATTTTGTATATAGGTAAGTGGAGAAGGGAGGAATAATATATATATATATATATTTCAACTATATATACGATTTAAATATTTCTTTATTTTGCTACAAAAAAAAAGATTTTTATTAACAATACTAAATCAATTTAACAATGAACGTTGCACAAAAAGTATAATTAATCATTAATAATTGAAAGCTTAATCTGGATAATTCTGAAAATTCTTTAAAAAATATTGTTTAATATTAATTTATTTTTTCATATAATGTTTATGAACGTCGCGTTTCCTTTATTTAATCCACCCGTTATATAACGTGCGGCAATACAATTAATCTGGATTCTATTCGACAATTTCATTCGAGAGATATTACTACAATAAAATAACAGCGTGTACACGATATTAATTTAATTTAATTAGTCAGTCGTGATTTACATCTGCAATCCGTTTATTGTATAAGTTAAATATGTCATTTATGTATTGGTTTCTTAATTAGTTTAATGAATTATATTATAACCACATTCTCCTCATTCAGCTTACCACGTTTGTTACAAAACCTGTTTAGTGATAAGATTATACTGACAAATAGGTATATGATTCTTAAATTCTTTAATCTTATCTCTAAACATGTTTAAGTTATTTCTTTCTTGTTTTATTATTAAGCAAAAATATTCATACACATATCTTTATGATTTAGTTTTCGCGTTTTGAAAACTATTAATAATTTATAGTTTCAAAAATATCGAGTTCTTGCTGAATATCTAGAATTTATATCATAAATTAAAAGTTAAATACATGCTAAGTTATTACGTGTGCCCCGAATCTGTTTTTAATTTGACAATTTATGTATAACTTTTATAATTATTATATCAAATATAAGATTGTCTTATATTAATTTGGTAAAATCATACAGGTAAAAAACAGTTAAAAAAATGTGATATTTATTACGTCTATTATATAGAATTTGTTTTTAATTTGACAATTTATATGAAACTTATTTTTATAACTAATATGTCAAATATAAGAGTGTTATATCGATTAGATAACATCATATTTGAATATATTAAAACGCGTTAGAAAGATACACAAATTTAATATAGCATTTTATTAATTTAAAGCAACATTGCACATTATCTTAATTTAAAGTAATTTGCATGTTCTCAATATTTCACAATAAATATCGGTATCTGGAGAGCTTCAATTATTTAATTGTTTCCTTATTTGTCTTCCATCTCTCTGTCTTTCTATGACGTTCTATAATAAAAAGTATAAAATCGATTAATAAACTCCTGTATAAATATATACTAAACGTGTATTAGGAATTCGATGATTATATCCCACAAATTAATATAATAGTAATTTAATAATTGTCATATAAAGTAATCTAAAATTTTCAACTATAATTTTAATATTACAATTAATCAATTTATAGTTAACTTTTTCTTAAACAAAATACAAAATTCTAACAGTTTTAACAGTAGAAACATTATACGTTATAAATTAAATTATTAGAAAACAATCCCGCGATAACAAACATTCATACAATTTAATAAAACAATATTTTTTCAAAATATTTAGTGTCAAGGTAAAAAAACATGCTAAAGCATTTTTTATGGTTTAGCATAGAAAACTAAACTAAAGTTTTTAATGGTTATAAAATTCTGATTTATTTATCGTTAAAATTTAAATTAAAGAACCTCTAGAATGATTTATTCGAATATTACGTATTTCAATTACATATTTTTTGTTGAAAAGGTTATTAGATTTTTTGTAATTAAGGATTATCCTAAAAAGAAAGAGATAACTCACATGACAATTCTACAACGTCCTCTACTATCTTTTCTTTGCCCTTCCGGACAGTATGTAGGTACTGTAATAATATTCCTTGATCCAATCTGTGGGATAAATCTATCAGGCATCACGATATTATCCTGAACACTATTCTCTTTCTTCTTTTCTTCTGTTTCCATATCGCCGTTTTCAATTCGCGGGATTTTCTCCTCATTTGTCGTCGATGTCATCTTTGTCGCACCACTAATCGATTTACGATCGTGTAAGATTATTCGCATTAACGACGTTATTGTAGCATTAACAACATTGGATGTGCATTCGCCATCGTCTTAATGTCTTTCAGTTTTGGCTTTATTGCATTTTTGGACCAAACACGTCGCTCTTATGCATTATTGAGTAATACATTTGAAATTATATTTTTATTGTTTAATTTCATATTTCTATAATTTATTTATTTTTTAACCATTTGTTTTAATCTTTCTTATATGTATCAGACACTAGAAGATATTGATTCAACAATCATCAGACATAGATCTGGATATATCAAACAATCGAAAAATGCCTTTGTCTCGTTCAGGTTGCAACTTATTCTGTATCAGACGATGCACTTTTTCGGAAAATCTACATGAAAAGAACAATTTCACTCAAGTATCTAAAAATTTAGCTTGATATAGATGTGATATGCAATTTGTCAACTAATATTTTTTTCACTTTACTTTGATTGTAAATATAAATATAATGTATAATTTTATTTAATCATTTTGAATTCTTTTAACTTTCTTAAAGTTATTTTTGCTTCCATCTGTTGCTATGTTCAAGCCTTCCCTTTTTTTTATAATTTAAATGGAGTAAAAATTAAATATAAATTAAAGCTTTAATAAAAAAATTTTTTTCTTTATCCATTCTATGTCAGTTATTGGATGAATTGATTGATATAAGTGGTCTTGAAAATATTTGTTTGTAAATTTGGAAAGAAGCAAGAAGGTTTGAAATTTGATTCGGGCTGAAATTATATAAACTGTTAATAACATTACATTAATTATATAAACTGTTAATATCTGAAAATAATTTTATTTGAACCATCAAAATAACTATTGTATGTAGGATGCTCAAGCTGATTACTAGATTATTAAAATTTTTTGCAGCGTCATCAAGCTTAATCGGTCTACAAAATTATATTATATATTTTGATGATCCAACAAAATTATTTTCAAATCTAGTTAAACTTCAGCAAAATTGTCCTTTCCGTGTGACAAAACTGTTCTTTCCGTGTATAATAAATCTATAATAAACTCTGAGAGATTATCATGATTATTTCATCGTTTGTATTAAAAGATGTTAATCTAAAAGCTAATTTGTTCCGACCCGAACGAACATATCTTTAAATATATTCTTTGTCACGTTTACATACGTACTTATAATCTTTGCCCGAATACTTGTATTCATTGGCAAACATCCAGTTTTCGTCCGGCGAGACATAACCCTTCATCAATCGAATCTCGATTTGCGGGGCTTTGAACTTCGGATGTACTGTCCTCCATTTGTCCGGAATATATTCCAGGCTCCTCGCTGATTCCGGCGAAAATCGTACAATGTACAATCTTTGCGGCTGGACGATCGATGTCGTTGAGAAACGAATAATCGAGATTAGCAGAACGCGAATGGCGAGTTTGCGAAGAGACATAACGACCGATAACTTATGAAATAAAAGTTATTGAATTTCCGCGTCGATTCAATATATCTTATGACATGCTGGAGCGACTATGGTAACGTGATTAGTGAGTTCGAGATTCGACGAATTATACCGATTCAAGAGAATGATAACGCCGCTATTATCTTCTTATCGCGCGTCAAAGTAATTTCCACCGATTCTCGCGATGACGTCTGGCTTTTTAGCTTGATTATTGATTACGCCGACAAGGTCAATTAACGATTCAAGCGCTTTATGAATTCATGCACTTTCGATGATGATGCGTAGACGACTACTTGAAGCACGAAAATGATCGACCCCGTGATTCTAACTAACACAACGAGCTGCACATCCGTCATTCGACCGCAACGCAGCCACAATGTAAGATGAAATTCGTGAGTGAGCGATTTACCGGTTATTATGATTAATGCGATTTAATCATGGCTCGTCGAATATGTCACGTGATAATGATACAACTGGCTGATAAGAGCGCGGTCGCGCCAGTCTTATTCGTAAAAACGTAAAAAGTATGCTTGGATCGAATTAACCCATTGATTATAATATAATATATAATAATTTTTTTTAATTTGCTTTAATATTTTTTAAATCTTTTTTTATATAGGCTGGCTTTTTAATTAAAAAGGCTATAATTATATAAAGAGTAAAAAAGTTAATATGATAAAAGTGAAAAATGCAGGATGGAGCTTTTTCATAAGCTTTTTATTTTCGAGAAGCTCGGACAACTTCAATTTTACTTAGAATTAATCATCTTAATAGAGAAAAAATTTCAATATATTATATTAAAATATATATTAATGTATTAATAAATTATAATCGAAATTAGCTGAAGAAAGTGGAAAATAACAAATATTTGTAAAATTATATTGTTTTGACAGTGTTTTTATTTTTTACAATACAACTACATTACGAGCTCCAAAATGTTACACATGAATACATTTATATCATTTCAAGCAGTCATTTCATATTTGATAAGGTAACCTTATTCTGGGCAATTATTTACAATGGGCATGCTTTTGATAATCTTTGCCTTGACATACATATGTTGTAGAAATGTAAATAATGATTAAAACCCTTTTAGTTCAAGGAATATACTTACGTAAATTTTTATGAAAATCCAATTTAATACTAAAAATTATTTATTTCGAATTATTTATTTTATAAAAACTAAACTAAACAACAGTGTTTTTAATATTGAAAACAAGTAATTAATCATTACTTTCCAATATTAAATTATAAGGAAACGTTAAAAATTTTATTTCTTTTTATAATTTTCTTCATCCCCTCTCCGTCACTATGACATGTATTGTCAACCAATCATATCGGTAACTTATTATCTTTATTTATTTTAAGATGTCGATTATCGAAATTCGTAAATTACTGAGTTATCGTCTTTAGTACTTGTTTTGACTGTATAATTGCTATTTCGTAAATTTTTGAGTATTAATAAAAAAACTAATCAATTATTTTATTAATTATTTAGAGAAACGTAATTTGAGAGATAATTTAATTATGATGCAATTGCTGTGTAACATTAACGCGTCATTCTGATTATTTAGATTTTCATTGTCATTTCATATGACATGATGTAGGAATTATTTATTGTTCGAATTTTTTGCTTTCCTGATGCAATTGCATAGTTAATTTGAAGGCTTCAGAGAAAAAGGGAGATGTCACGCGATGATTATTATCGCGTTGTGTAAGTGCATAACTTTTCAAACAATAAATAACATAGATAATTTATGTGAAAAAGTTGATTTTATCTTTGTAATAATCTATGGAACTATTTTATTATTTAGATGAATCCGCTCAAAAAATTCACAATTGGGCCACAGGTTGCGCACTGATTTGCATATCTATCTTATTCTGTTACGTGCGGTATTTGCGAGAAACAATGTCTGGCTACGAAAAAGCTTACGATTTCTTAACAATAGATAATATAATTTAATTTTTTTCAAAACAAATTATGATTTTATATGAATAATATCGGCTGATAAAGAAACATTTATGATGCAGATATTTTTGCATTTCCAATTCATAGCATAGATAGAATAGATCTCTATATGCCTGGACTAATGATCCGAAATTCAGTTGCGGTATCAGTGTAGCGCGCTATGAATCACCATTAATTAGATCCATATCATACCGTTCTCGTTGCTTAATTCATTAATAAATCTATCGATCACCGTCGGGCTGGCATAAATTGGCAAATCAGTCATCAATTATTCTTCAATAGTGATTGCCAAATCGCAATCACATGTCGCGAGATCAGTTCAACGCAAAAATTACGGTCAAAATTTCACTCTGCTTGAATTTAATTATCAAGATTATATTGCATCAAGATATCTCTAGTAGCTTTCGCATAATGCGATAGTAAGTTAAAAATTTAATTCTAAACATAATCACGGTAATGAAGACTTTGTTCAATTGAAATTTGTCTCACTGCATGTCAAATTAATATGTTTTTATTCAAACCATCCATTACTTCTTGCTCTTAATCTTATCATTATATTATTTAGTTAAAAGTTTATTATTTAGATTTATTGTTTAAAATTTATTGTATTTTTACATATTTCAATAGAGAGAAAAAGGATGCTGCGGTACCGCATTTCGTTTTATCCGTAAAATCCCTCTTTAATACATATATGGCATTTTGGATGAGAGACTTTCACATTGCATACAAGCTGATTGGCCAGGCGATTGCGTTTCGAAGTTACTGCCCACGCGGTCATACGGAGTATAATGTGTGACCGTCGAAATAATTTTCGACTGGCGGCGGTCCCGCAGGATTTATGGCGGCGAGATCGACCGGACGTGTGGTCGTCTCGGTTCGTCGAACACTCGCGATATCCGCGATTGCCGAGAGGCCTGCGGATATCGCAAGGCTGCGAGAGTTTGCGAGAGATGATTTTGATTTAACTATCGAATTTCGGTTTCGATATTTTATCAAGCGCGACATCCCGTCTGCGTTTTAGCAATTTCATCTTGCGACATGCTTTATGTCGCGACTCACGATGCAAACAAATGTGTACAGTGTAAACATTTTAAATATCCGCTTTATTGTGATTTTTAATGATTAAAGAATGATACTATTTTCAAAAATGTCAAATCAAAAGTAAACGTTAATCACAACAGCATATGCATTGATATATTTAACTTTACTGATCTATTTGAATTTATTTGACCCAAAAGTAATTAATTTTCTTATTAATATTTTATTAAAAAATTTTTTCTTCTGATATTTGATCACTTCGTTTGTTAATATAAAATCTTTTCCCCGTAAATTTTTTTTACATTTTTTAAAGTTTTGTAATAATATAAAAATCGAAACAATATGAGATAGTTTAATAAATTTACAGCAGAGCAGCTGAATTAATAAAGGAAAAAAAAAGAGAGAGATGATTTTTTTTAAAGTCAAACGTAAAAGTTATGTAAGAGAGATTTGACGTCTTATTTATTTCAGGTGGAGTGGAGAAGGCGCAATATGGCCAATTACCAAAACAGATTCTCAGCCGTCACGGATTCGAGGGATGTCTGGCGTCGTTGGATCTCAGCGGGGAAAGTACCGACCTCATTACCGATGCCGTCGTGCCAAGTTCTCTCGTCACATCCGGATGCGACATTTACACCAACATACATCCGGGCAAGAAGTGTACTCATGATCTCTGTGCCAATCATGGCACATGCGTGCAACAATGGAATAGCTACACATGTGACTGCGACATGACGAGTTTCACCGGACCGACTTGTAACGATGGTAAAGAAATATAGAAAAGAGAAACATAGATACATTTGTATTCGCATTTGTTTCAAGAAAGGGAAAAAGAGATTTGTCCACGCTGTTCTCTTTACATACACAAAATCGCTAATTAATTAATAATTAATATTTTATTAAATATTATCTATCAATATCATATGTGTACTATTGTACATTATTATAATAACACATTATCTATAAAATTAACAAAACTAAAGTTTGATTATTGGATTATTCTACAAAATAATAAATATTAAATGGATGTAAAATTAGTTCATAGTTGGGTTAGAATTGATTTCTTTCGTCGAGAGGAAATATTTTTCATAATTAATCGCAATTATTGATGAAACTTGATAAATGGGTTCTCAAAATATTTTAGAACGAAGATTAAATTATTATATGGTAGAATGATAATTTAATAAATAACGAAGCAAAAATTTCAGCACTTAATATATAACAGGTAAAACATCACTTTAACATCAATATGTTTCACTTCGCAGAAGCTATCGCTTACGAATTCGGAGCAGGAAGAGGAATTATCACATATACCTTTCCGCCTGATCGTCGACCGGAAATGAAAAGAGATACTGTGGCCTTGGGTTTCGTTACCAGCGTTAATGACGCTGTATTGCTTAGAATAGAATCTGCGTCGAGTAACGATTATCTCGAAATCGAAATTGTTAGTATATAATAAATTTAAATTTACATATTATATAGCATTATTAAGCACTATACATATATACAATGTATTGTATAATAAATAGATTATATAATTTAGTACAGAGCTTCCCAAACTTGTGTAGATTGCGACTCACTTTTTAAAACAACAAAAATTTGCAATTATCTGGCTTTAGCAAATAAAAAAAAAAACAGAAAACGAATAAATTAATTTATATCATTTTATTTATATATTTTATTTTATGTATATTTCTACTTTTTTTATGTTTTATTGGATGCAATATTATAAATCTATTTCTCAGATAAGGCAAATTACGATATCTATTATGACGGATGTAATAAAAATCTTCTTGTTTCCTATTTCTGTTCTGATAACAGAACGTTTAACGTTGACATCGATATAAATTATTTTTAGACCCAAGAAATTTGATAATTAAAGTGTGAGAATTAAAATTAATTGTAAAATTTTGTTTTAATTTCTATTATCGTTGAAAATTTAACCTTACATAGTACGAAATTATGAAAAGACGTGCACATAGGCAAATTTATACAGCTACGTAAAGTGATGAAGTGTAATTTAACATTGTAAAATTTTTTGCGATTTCTCGAATCGTGACCTATCCTTTGGGAATCTCTGATTTAGTATGTACATATATAAGTAATAGTATTAGTTAAATAGATTTTTCGAAAGGCATAATTATTAGACTTATATAATATGAATTAGCATATTATATATCAACATCCTTTTAAATTGATTAATTTATTTAATTTGGTAAATTTCCGATTCAATGATTTAATGTAATTGGCACGAATAAAAAATCAAATTCCAATGGAACAAAAAATTAATAATTTATTTGTTTCATAGGTGGAAGGTAACGTTTTTGCGGTTTATAATATGGGCACCAACGATCATCCAATAGGCGAAGTTGGCGTGAAAGTTAATGACAACCAATATCACGTGGTTAGATTTACCAGAACTGGGCCGAACAGCACATTACAAGTCGATGACTACAATTTGCAATCTAATCATCCATCGGGTAAGTAATTTTTGCATAATGTATATTGTAGTAACAATATTGCAACTCGTGATAAGCTATCGCTGATCGATCGTCTTGTCAAGCTTATGTCAGGTGTGTGAGAAAAAATTATAATATAAAGTATTGTCAGATATCAAATATAGTTTGAAATGTTAATAAGTTAGCACACACATCAAAGAGAAAACTCCACAAACTTTTTCGATTCATAAATTAAAGAGCAAAATGAAAAAACGATCATCTCCGCAATTGTCATACATTTATTAATTATGATAACAGAAATTATAATAAATCACATGAAGTATAACGTTTAGAGTGCAGAGATCGTGTTTAAGTTTAAATAAATATCGCGCATACGTGCTTTATACGAGACGATCCAAACAGCACGAGAACTGCCGGGAAACTGAAGACGAAGGGGTCCCATGTGCTCTTTTAAGAGCATCGTGGTACCGGGACATTGACCCGTCCTAACCATGGGAAACGGCCTTGATCAGCCGTTCACAAGACCCAGCCATTGTCTCGTCCTTTTCATGAATACGAAGACCGCCTGCCGCTCCCATGAAAAGGCTTGCTCGTGTTGGGAATGATTTATCGATTAACTAAGAATTATCAGGCGATTATCCGGAAACGTTCCTTCCTCCACAATTGCACTCGGATGCATTGTAGGTTCTAAAATTTATGAAGATCTGCACTTAACTCTCCTTGGTACTCGCAATATTTTTTATTGATACGAGTAAATGTACAAGTTTGTTTGAGATATTTAAATCCGCTATCTTTTGTTTAACATCGCTAAAATTAAAAAATAGATAATTTGTTGAAACAAATTATATTTACTTATATTTATGTTTAAATCTGCAAATATACCTTACTTTATAAATTAAGATATTGATTGAGAGATTATTCTGGTGGGACATTCATCTATTTTAGTAATTTTATTGTAAATATAATAAATGCGAGCCTTCTATAATTAATGGATCGATTGACTGAATATAAGCATACAACAGCAAAATTATAAGAAGCAAATTTTAAAAAATACTTTCAACGTGAAAGTCACACGGAAAATAAATATCAAATTGAGATCAGATATTTTATAATATTCTTCTCTCTCAATATAATATTTTTTCTAATATTTTTTTCTTTTAACGATTTACTTTATTATACTTATATAGAAGATACCTGTCAATTACATGACAATTTTTTTCATACGTTTAAATTGTTAAATCAAATCACACATTTTAAAACATCTTAAAAAAATCTATCTCCTGGTCTGATTTGCTTGGCTCGAAATAATAATTTTTGACATTCTTTTTATTTGCGTTTATAAAGATTCTGTTACTATTATCATTTTTTTATAATTATCTTACAATTTTATAATTATTAACAATAATTATTTACAAGTCTGATATTTTTAAAATTGTTAAGAATGTATCCTGATGCACATACAATGGTATACTTTTCGTTCCGTTGACAAGATGAAATCCTGATGCTCGACCAAGTAATCGAAGTTTTATCGAACACAAACTAAGTTTATTTACTCTCTTACAGGCTTTGAATTTTCCATCCATAACATGTTGTCCTGATAACTTGACCTTTAAAAAACGCTTTCGCTTATCTAACAAGAGATCCGAGCTCATATTAATCCTGTTAATACCTATGCGACCATTGTCCTTCGAGAGAAATTGGATGAATTGATCAATGAATTAAGCGAATAGATCTCCAAGACCAAGAATCTTTATAATGAACTGTCTACATTAAGATTAATTAATCTACATTATTTTGATTGAAATTTTACGTAATTATATTGAATAAAAGATGATTATATTAATACAAGGCAGTGTTACGTATATAACAAGTATATTTCTTTGAAATGTATTTATATATACACATACATTGCAGCAAGACTCTATGGACATATTTTGTTTTCAAACTGCGCATGAAACGTTGGAATATTAATTGCATGTTTCTCTGTCAAAAATTGAAATAAACGCCGACGAGCAAATTAATTAATTAATTTAAAGAGATAGTATATACAAACAGAAAAGAATTTCTACGATAAACGTCACGTATTTAATTAGCAAACGGCAAAGCGGGATTTCTACTTTCTGTATGCAATTAATTTTGTAATGTCGCCCATATATCATGTTTACTAGGAATTGCATTTATTCATACTGTAGTGTGCGCGCGTTAATATAATTAAGTGCCTCACTTAGTTATATTACTCAAATTGTTTACACACATATAAATAAACTATTGGTTTACTTAATATAATTTAACAACCGCATAAATTGCAGATTAATACAATATTCTGTTTGTTATAATATTCAGAATTTTTTCTACTAAGCATTTTCTTTTAAGGTTTTAATATCGATAATTATTTAGTGATTCTACGATTTGTTTGATGAAAACGTTTTTCTTATTTATCATATAAAGTAATTATTTAAAATGATATTTTGTCATATGTATATCAAATTAAGATTTTACGCAGCTCCATTGAGCACCATATTTTTTCATTCAGCTACGTCGGACAATTAGATTTACTTCGCCATATAATCAGATAGTTCATATATCTGTTTGTGTATTTCTGCACAGATATTAATTACGAGGCAGCATTATGCGTAATAGACTGCGTTGCACTCATTTTCCTGACCCAGACAAATTTATCGTCGACTAATGCACGATGCATTTTCATAAGTGTACGAGCTTTTCCCGCGAGCATCATTCGCACATTGCAGAACTCGCAAATATGCACATGTGTTTAATATTTAACGAATACTCATCAAATCTTCTGCTTTTAACTCAATAAGTAGTGCAATCGACTAACGCCGAGACCGTTTGAATGAATAGTTTTCACATGACTAAAACATCTACGAAAATATATGCTAGATAAAATTTAAGTTTATATTCTTATTATTTTATATTTTTATATTTCAATTATTCAAATTATATTATCTGAACATAAGTCGAATTGTTCCACCTATTTGTTTATCTGTTTTGCTATAAAGAAAATCTATGTAATATAGATAAAAAATCAGGATATTGAATTAGAAAGATAAAAATAGATTTTCCTTAATTTTTAGGTTCGTACAAGTATCTTATAATTACAAATATTTGTTTTAATGGGTTTAGATTAAAGAATTAATCAGTTATAATTCCTTCGACAAAGTGCACATTATATTATAGTTTTAAATGTCAAGTTATCAAGAATTACTAAGAAAATTATGTATCAGATGTGTGGAATTTTGTGGATTAGAGGCATTACGGAAACTTTGACCTCATGGAATATAAGCCTTTGTTACATTAACCCTTTGAGTCTATCGCCGCATCCCAATTGCCTGTTTAGCGGTGTCGCATGTGTGAGCGGAACTCCTAACCAACATTGCTGTCCTGATAGCTTCCTAAATTATTTGAAATCCTTTAGAATCTGTGGTGATCCTGCTAATAAAAGTTAATGATGCGAATAGATTCGATTGAACCGCTTTTGCGGAATATCCTAAACGATACTAGTCAATTTCAACTAATAATTGTTGCCAACTAATTACTATCGACGTACAGCGACGTTATTTAATTATAATTAATTCGGACGGCCGACATAAAATACCAATACTTTATTTAACTACTAGAAATATTTATTTCTGCTAAAATAAATAATATTTTACATAATTATGATGCAAAAACGGAGAGCTGCTTCGAGTAAGAAACATATTTTAATAATGTCCTCGTTTTATATAATATTTTTTAATTTATTGCAATGTATATTTTTATTATTTATATATATGAAGTGACAAGTACAGCTTCGCGTTCACTTATGTAAACAGATACAAGTACTAATAGAATAATGATATCGAGAAAGAAAATAGTGGATTAATAATTATAGAGACATTATTTCATGCATGGTTTTAGATATCTTCGCATAATTTGATATCAATTTAATAAACAATAATTTAACAATAATATTAAATAACGCATTTATAAAATGCATTTACGTAAAAAATATATTTTATCACGAAGTTTTCCATACGTTATGCATTAGATTCTAGTCTGATGTCTATTCATCCTGCCACTTTTATCATTAGAAATTCGCGCAAGCTTAGGAAATTCGATCTTTTCTGGAGCACGTACGATGCCGCGACCCTCTACTCACTCTCCACCCCATGTGACTCGCATATCATGCGGCTTGCAATGAAAGCGAGAAGAGAATCCTCTTCGTGCTTTCTACTGCTCTGCTTCATGTGTGGAAGATTGCTTATCCTCAAGCCACGTATTCTCTCTCACGTGCGTACTGTCTTCTCGATCGTCATTTAGACGAAGATATAGATACATTAAAAAAAAGTAATACTTTAAGTATTATCTATAGCAAAACATGATTATAGCCACCAGACGGCAGACTTGTTTCTTAAGATACAATAAAGAATAATTTTAAGATTAAAATTTATAAGATTGAAAAATTAAAAGCGCCTGGAGCATAAATAGTATTACAAAACACTCGAGGAATGAATAATGTGCTTAGTGTCAGCCACACGACAGATAAGTTTTCACAATTCAATATTCTTTTTTTATTTCTAAAAATGAGATTTGTGCTAGAAGTGAAAGTTATTTATTTCTTCAGTTTTAACAAATTGTTATTATTAAAAGAAAAGATATCTCGGAACATAACGTCAAAAATTAATTGAACTATATTATTCATTTGAACTATATTATCCTCAATTCAAGAAAAAGAAAAGAGAGAGTACAGAATAATCAACTGTTTTCAAACCGAATAATCGACACTAAGAATGGAATATACATTGCTCATTAAAGACGCGGTCGACAATAACAGAGTTAACCAACTCAATTGAAGCACCCTTTTGAGACTAATTGAAACCAACCCCTTTAAAGGAAAGCTCGGGCGAAACCTTCTTACATCGCATGCATCTCTGATGGAAAAGGTCACGTGGTAGGCCTTTTTTCTCATTACATTCCTCGCTCTGGTGACCACGTGTTCAACCCCTGTGCCACTTCTTACC